AACTTTGATGCTTTACTACAACATAACTGTGAATGGCAGAATTTCAGGTTTAACACCAACTGATGCAATTACCTTCATCAAATCGAAAACGCAAAAAAATAGAAACGTAATTTTAGACGAGTCTGCAGAAGTCCCCTTTTAAAAATACAGTTCATTTAGGCAGCAGATAATTTGAAATTAAATTGTAGTAATTTCACATTATTCAGCTAATTATAAAGTAAGCATTTAATATAATAATAGCATATGAATGAAAAGTATTATGTTCCGTTATGTTGCAGTAGGTGAAAATATGGACTTAAAACTTTAATTAGAATGTGAATATAACAAAACAGGATTTTAAAACCGTTTTTCACTCAATGCCTGAAAGTTTAATCATTTAACTTCAAATAATTGAAAAATAGAAAAATTGGACTAAAAATGCGGTGGAAAAAAATCAAGAATAACTGTATTATAACTATAACATATGAAGCTAATGTTACAAATCAAATATAAAGATTAAAAATTTAAAAATAGATATTAAAGAGAGAAAATTTCATAATAATAAAATTGGTATCATTAAAGAATTGCATATTTTTAAGTCAGTATGAGAAAACTGGGAATCATTTTATATAATTTTTTGAACATTCGATTTAAAGATTTGACGAAATAATTAATTAAGTCTGAATTTCCTCAGAACATTGAAAAGTATTATTCAAAATAATATTTTAAAATTTGTTTAAATTTGAAAAGAACTTACAGCAACAAACTTCGATTCACTGAAAAAAAATTTTTTTTTTTTACTTTAAAATGGCGTGAAAAATTTTGTGTAATATTGTTTTCGAAATTTATCTCGGAAAATAGCAAAATTTTGCCTATTTGCAGAACGACCAAAGCGAGGTACTTGTTTCGTAAAGCGTTAGGCCAATTTTGGCAGGCTGGTTCGGAGTGGGTAGTAAATGAATAAATGAGGTCCCTGTTTCAAATCGAACATTCAGCATTTCGTCTATATCTAAATTTGCTTGTTACGCAGTCACGACCAAACACGTCGTTTTAATTTCTTCGGATTTGGCACGAAAGTTCCTTGAGGTCACAAAAAACGAAGTATTTGCAACAATTTTTATTTCTTGGTTGCATTTCAAGATGGTGTCCTTTAAATTGTTTCAATTTGTTGGTGACTCAGTGACGAGTTTGGCACCGTTAAAACCTGTGAATTGTTTTGATAACGGTGAAACATTAATTTGTAATTTTGTTAATACTGATGAAAGCAGATATTTAATTCCCATTTTATTAATAATGATAAAAACAGATATTTAATTACAATTTTGTTATTACCGATGAAATCAAAGATTTGTGCAAATAATTTGCATGTAAATAAAGAGAGATGAGTTCCATGTTGAGGGTTGCTTTTTCCTGTTCTCTTTTCTCGAAACCATTCTTTTTCAACGATGCTAACAAACGGTTCATGCTCTATAAACTTGAAGACCACCTCCACTCTCCAGCATAAAGTTTCCTACATATTTTTCAGTACATTTTTTATTCAAAGTTATATCAGGAGCGATCTAAGCTGTAGGAACGGGAATGCGATGTGGCGTAGTTGTAGTAGTAATAAGTTAGTGCATTTGTTTTGTAAATACAGGGATCAAAATTTCGGCATAATATGGGTGTCCAATATTGTACGTTGATTTGTTGAAGCTTATAAATATATCTTTTAAGACCGTTCATATAATATATAAAGTCTACCCCGCCCTGGCTGAAACCGCACGGTGGTATTGACAACCGGCCGACGCGAAGGAGCCCATCCAGTACATGGCGCAGGATCAGACTTGTCGACATTGTGGAAAAGAAGGCACTCCTCGAGAGACAAATTATTATGTCTGGTGTCTTTGGAAAGTTAAAATTAACAAATAACAGCTCTACTATTCACATACTCGCCTTCCAAAGTATGATTGTGTCAAATATGATAACTCTAAGTCCATCCATCTCGTTAGGTCCAGCATCAAGAATAAGACACACACGCGCTTACATTCGTTTCTATAGTCAGTAGATAGTATTTTTAACCCTCTGAACGCCCAATTATTTTGAAATTTTAGCTATCAGGTTAGAAAGCTTAGCTTTTAAGGTATAAATGAATCGATCTTTTTTTGTATTTAATTATATCTCTGAAATTTTAAGAATACTTTAGCCATGATTGTTTAAGAAAATATAAATACGGGCTATCTGCTCTTGAACTGAACATGGAAAACGTAAAAAGAAGTTTGCGCCGCTCGGAGGGTTAAAATAAGAGTTTTCTAAAGTTATGTCTGTATTGTTTGTGATAATATAAAATTACACTTAAGGCTAATCTACGAAGGTTGCATATCAATCAGATTGGAGTCAGATCTGATATATTATTTAATTTAATTCTTTTTCAAAAATTTTCCATGTAAGTTTTAAAAATACCTGTTTTAATTCCACATCAAAATCTTCATGGGTTCAAGGAAATATAGCTCTATTTTTTTTCTAAACTTCAAATTACTTTTGAACATCACTCTTTCTTGAAAGAAATTAGAATTCTATGAAAAGAATAAAAATGTCTATACTGCATTTGATATTCTTAGATAACTCCTACCGAGATAATATTATTGAATCTCATAGATAAAAATTTTCAAGCACAAGAACTCAGTGCTTTATAATACAAGAGAAAGCAGCATGATGTGAAATTTTTATTTTCACTTCAAAAGAATTGTGTTAGGTAACTCGCTTCAATTTAGTTATTCTCACAAAGAAGTAATTATCCTTCAAAGAATATTGAAAACTTCTCAGCTGTTTCCTTTTTACTCTGCAGAGCAAAATAATGCGTCGTATAGTTTCCGCTCAAAGGTTATAATTATTCACTCAAGTCTTCCTATTTCTATTTTTACTTTCTTTTTCCTGCATGGAAGTAGGACATTTTGAAAGGATAGTTTATTTTATACTTTAATGTTGGTGTAAAATTAAATAATTATTTTAAGTGTCGAAGAAATTACAATTGAAAATAATTTCTAGCTTATCTTTTTAGTTTTTTTATTATTAATTTTTTGTTCATAGTGAAAAAACTGTCTAAAATGTGTAGATGGTCTTATATTTTTCACAAGTATCCCTTATATCTTCCTTCTCCTTTCTTAAAAGCACAGTTTGAATACAACAATATATCTTACTTCAATATCCCGAAAGAGAAGGGAAATTAATTGCTTTCTTGAAAGAAATCTTATGAAAATATATATTGATAGTTTTTAGTGTATATGAGTGTTTTGAAATGAATTTTAATTTCTGAAAGTTCATTATTATCTATAGCTTTATTAATAAAATATGAATAGGTTTCTTCAGTTTCAAATGCTTTTTCTGTTTAGGTTTAAGAATGATTCATTTCTTTATTTCCCAATTGGATCTGGTATGAAATTTTAGTTTTGCGTTTTAATTACTACTGTAAAATTGTTCAGGCTGAGTTAATATGACATTAATATAGAAATAACCGTGCTGGAAGTTTTTTGAAATTCAGCCGTTACAGAAATTATTGAAGCTTAAAGAAATGAGTAATTATAAATCTCAAAGAATCGGTATAATAAGGAGGAAAAACTAATGATGAAGAATAATAGAAAAAATATAGAGAGAAGAAAAAATAACTTTGAAAGATGATTGTGTGATGAACTGAAACTAGTCTACAAGGAACGTATTTCGAATCATAAAACAAATTTTTTTTCACCTTACGTCACTGATTACGTTGGCCTACAGTGTTTCATAACTACGTCCAAATTTTTATTTTCATTATTAATTCTGATTGTTATTTAAATACCTACAAGTAAGAAAGTCTCACCAGGTCCCACTTCAGCGTTTGGGTATCACAAAAGGCAACTTCCATAATTTTTTTATGATTTTCACAATGCCACAAACCGGTAACCATATCTGATTCTTTTCAGGTACTAAAAGAAAAGATAAGTTCTTTGTTAAATACAGTTGTGCGTTTTTATAGTTACATTTTATGTTGAAAATGGCAAGTTTTCAGCTTGCAAAACTGTACCCGATAAGTTTTTTCAATGTCTGGGGACAATTTATATTGAAATCGCAAGGTAGATACTATTTAACATAAGAAGTGAAAAAAGCTTATTTTCTGTATTTTAGATGCAAAGTTGTCGATAAAGGTAAAAGTTGAGCTTCTTATGTGTGTGGCATAGGCTACAATGGGAATGTTGTTCAGTGGATGAAAGACAAAAGAATCTTTATCTGTTTGAGTTTTAGACCTCCACCGACCAGCCTACCCAAACGGTTGTAAAGCCTATAAAGGTCGGTGGGGAGACAACAAGTTAAATTAATTTTACACACTATGTCCTGAACAGGGGCATTTAACCCTCTGAGCGGCGCAAACGTCTTTTTACCTTTTTTATGTTCAGTTCAAAAGCGGATAGCTCAAATGCAATAACCCTTGAATAATATACAGTAACAAATAATAAGAAAAAAGTAAAGATAAAAATCTAAAATCAATAAATAAAACATTAAATAACACTTCCACAGTAACACTAAGAAACATTTAAATACACCAGAAGACATCTAAAAGAAATCCAATATCCCCAGAGACCAGAACACTATATATCCAGAACTTTTAAGAATCCAATATGCTCCAGATCCAGTGGGGGGAGGGTGCAACAGTAATGGAGGAGGACAGGGTTTGCATGTTTAAGATTCGGCTCGGCTTTTAACTCTAAGAACCATTTATCTCCAGAAATCCAAGAATATACCTCTTCCTAACCAGGTCTCTGGACACAGCGCTCTGAATACATATTTAAACACCTTAAAAATCAAATCAACAATAAAATTAAACCTTAGTTGTGTTAAGGTAATGTTAACAATAAAATCAAACCTTAACACAAGCAAGGTTTAATTTAATTAAAGATTTGATTTGATTGAAAGAATCTCTATGGAATTTGTTGTCCTATGCTGTGGCGGAAGCCTTCATATCATTTTGATGATTGCTGTCTCTATATTACGAATACAAGAAGATCACACCAACGGCTATACCATGCTGAAAGCACCTGTTCTCGTCTGATCACCGCAGTTAAGGAAAATCGGGCGAGGTCAGTACTTGGGAGGGTAACCACCTGGGAACATCGCGTGCTGTTGGCCACTTTTTAGCACTTCATGTCCGCTACGCTATTTAAATAACCGAAAGGTTATAATTGCAGGGGCATGAAGTGGTGTCTTGTTTTCCGAACAGAGAAGGATATAAGAAAAGACAGAAAATCGAATAACCAATGTCTCGTAAGCACTCCCAACTATTCCTCATGGCGAAGGTTTACCGATACCAACTCCCCCATTGAATTGGTAGGATAATAAGAATCTAGAGATGGGTAACATTTAAGATGCATCCATTGAAAATATAGATATATAGGAAGGCACTTGTGACCCAACCTTTCGGGTGAGGCTTCCAGTGAACACCATTTTATTCGTTAAAACGAACTGAACTATTTGGTTCTTGAACAAGGCCTATCAAAACAATAGGTGGGACTTCTCTGCTCTAGATTGCAAGAATGGAATCTGTGGGAATCTAGAGCAAGCACTACAAAAATGGAAGATTCTTTATGAGTTTGTTTTGACGTAGAGGGGTTAATGGAGGAACTACAAATCGATTATGAACCTTCAGAAAATGGTGCCTTATCACTGATTCATCTAAATATAGCTTAAAAACTCTATTATTACACCTTGAAAATAAGATGCCATCTATATCGTTTGCTTATTCAGCGTCGCTGAAGGGATGTATGCTAGCATGATGACCATTCTAAAGAATGCAAATAAGTATAAATAGTTCAATTGACATATTAGTGGAGATTTAAATGTCGTAGCTATTTTAATAGGTGTTGCAGGCAGATTTGTAAAGTACGGTTGCTTTTCATATTTTGGGATAGCAGAGATACAGAACAGCATTTTGTAAATAAAAGGAATGACCAAGCACATAGATCGTCTTTTTAGCTTGGAACTATTAATGTAAAGTACACTCTATTGTTGGACGGTAAAAGATTCTTCTTCCTTCACTTCACATTAAATTAGAACTGATTAAAAGTTTTGCGAAGGTCAAAGAAAATGGTGATTTTAAATATTTAGCAGGATTCAAAGAGGGCATTTTTATCGGATTTCAATTTAGAAAATTAATTTGCAACTTGCCGTTAAATGTGTGCTCAAAATGTATAGAAGAGACCATCTGACTTAGGCGATTTCAACGACATCTGATTATGGTTTAAAATTGCGAGACCTCTCCAAATATAGCCCTTGTATAGCTTCAATAATAAACAATAATACCAATAAACTGATCTAATACCGAGCTAAATGTGATTGTGTAGCACAAAAGATTTGGTAGCTCATCCCTCTCAGAATGATTGGCCCTTTCCATTTGAAAAAATTCAAAGAAAATATGGAGCTTTTACAGTGACAGAAGAGCGTTCTTCAATAAACAAACGGGAATGTCCCCCTTGACTTTCAGGTATACTTTCATTGCATGGCGAATTTTTTGCTTAACTTCACTGTATATTTAAAAGCATCTAGTATGCACATTGGAACAGTACCTCTTCCTGAAGTCCTATCTTACATATTAAAATCCGAAGGTAAACAAACGTATGTATCTATGTCCGGCTATCTCTTCACGAATCGCTGAACGAAGAAGCGCGCGGAAAGTACAAAAAGATGGGGAATAATTCAACGAATCCATTTTGACCAATTCAATTCTGAAATTTTAATTAGTAAGAAAGATATTAACTAAAAACTAATTTACAACAATACTTTTCATTGTTGCAGCGCAATTCAAACCGATTTCATTGTTTAAACAAATATTTAATCGCGTGTTTCTCTTTCATTGTTGAAAACTCCAACAATGCAATATGGAACCCTCAACAATGCAATGTGGATGGCGTTTTGTGCGGGTTTTGGTAATTGATATAAAGAAACAGGGTGAATTAAATCGCTCAAATAGGATTTTTAGTAAAAATGTTTTTTTCCGTGAGATTTAACTTTGAGATTTCATGTATGTAGTGCATCTTGCTTCATGCGTTTATAAACTGGACTCGCGCGAATGAAAAAATATGGATCCCCAGCAACGCTGGTCATGTGACCTCACTTCTTCTCTCCGCCAGGGAATGACGCATTATTCGAGATAGCCTGTGCAACGTCGGGCCATGCAGCTCGTCTAATTCAAAATTGTATAAAGATACACAGCATTGTTGTAAAGATAGCTCCCCGCAGTTCACGCTGTAAATTCTTTACAGTTTCGAATTATTGTAGTCACGCAGGGATAGAGGTAAACGCTGTTTAGGCTTTGAGAGGTTTGGTTCAAAATTTCTTTCAGCTGTACAAATTTGGTTTCTGACTTCATTCCAAATACCGTCCATTAATATTTTTCTGTTTTGGGAAAATGATTCCTTCGGTCTCAAGGAGATCTAAACAGTGGAGAGCTATCGAAATGTAGACGCGAATTTTTCGATGATTGCAATAGTTTCTTTTTCATATTTCTTACATAGGAAAGCCGAAAGGATATTTGCTTATTTCTTTGAAATTTGATATTTACTTGGTTCAATTGATTAAAATTTATCAAGTAAATCTTTCACAGTATTTCTCGATTCCTTCTGAAAAATTGGCATGATGCGAAATATTACTTTTATTTCAAAAGAGTTGTAGTAGCTCGATTTTTTTTTTCTTTTAAGAAAATTATTAAGTGAAACTTCTAAATAACGTTTAAGGCTTCTCATTTGTTTAACTTTGCTTCCCAAAATAATACATCCTGTAGTTTCAATTCAATGGCTCTCGCCACTTTTAAATTCAAACTATTTTTTAAGTTCATTTATCTGCTACGCATATGCAACTATTAGGATATTTTAGCTGAAAGCGTTGGTTTATTATTGTCAAAAATCATTACCGAAAATAATGTGTTCATTTCCCAAGAAATCTGAAATGAAACGAGTTATTAGTTTTTGAGAAAGAATGAAAAAAATATTGAAATGAAACATTTTTTAACAGTTTTACGAAAGTAAAACACTTCTTTTTTATACTATAATCGAAAAACAGTAATTTTTTTTTCTTTTTTGCTCTCGAATTTCCATTACATTTTTCCTTCTCTAAATTAAAAATTATTTGGATACAACCACAAAGCTCGTTTTAAAATTTATCGAATGATAATTTTTCCAAATTCCTCTATTAGTACAAAAAATATAAACACTCTCCATTCTCTTTTTTTCCAATCGAGAAGAATTTCAGTTTTTTAAGGCATATTAATATTAATAGATTCATAAATAAAACACAAATGAATAAATGCGAATTCATAAGTTTCATTCTGCATACAATCATTTAAATTTTTTATATCTGAAATTAATATGGAATGAACTTTTAGTGGTGAATTTTAATAACTAATGAGTGTCATAGCTAATATTAATGGCAAATAATTTTAGAAACCGTACCTTGTTTATTCACGCGTTACAGAAATTATTGAAGAGCACAGTACAACTGAATAATTACACATTTCGTTGAACATATATATTAAAAAGGGAAATCATGGGCAAAGACAAAAAAACATTTTAAAATCTAAAGAGTAAAATTGTTTCGACGAAGATTTCAATTAACTTGAATAAGCTTTCAAAGAATGAATTTTCTGGATATAGAAAGCATCGGGAAATTCGAAAACAACCAGCTTTTTAATCTCTGTACTTTACAAGAGAAATTTTTATACATTTAACCCCGTTATAAGGCCGTGGTAAGAATACTTACCACCAACTTCATTAATTTTTAAATGCATGTTTTAGGGTTGGCATAAGTTATCGCCAAATGTTTCGATGAAACAGAAACATAGATGTTCGAATTTCCTTTCCCAAACCATAACGAAGTGTCTGGACTTGGATAATTAATTATTAACTAGCAAAATTAATTAACAGAAAATTAATGTCACCTAATGAGCTAAATGAATTTCTTTTCTTATATTAATCTCAATCCCAAAGCCATTTTACCATAACACTAGAAAATAATGGCTCATTAAACGGTTAACATGTAAATGCTTAAGTCAGATAAACTAATCTAAAAAGTTAAAGTGTAAAAAATTGTTTGATTACTCCCATTATGTGGCTATTTTATAGAATACCTATAAGGGGTGCTCGTTAAAGGGAAAATAATTTCTTTTCTCGAACAACGCCAGCGTTTTGGGACACCTATGTATATATTCAGAGAAGCAATTCAACAAAACAAGATCGTATCTTAAAAGGCAACATCACCTATTTCAGTTTTTTTGAAATTTCAAAGAGGAAGAAAACACTCATTTTTTTGCAACCAATAACGAATATTTCTTAATTTTTTCACCTCTGGTAGGAACACGTAATCTCAAGTTCATATCATATGTTAAAAAATCAGAAATATTCCGTATTGGTTGCGAAAAAATTAAGTATTTTCTTCCTCTTTGAATTTTCAAAAAATTGAGATACGTGGTGTTGCTTGTTATGTGAAAAGATACTGTATTAGAATCGCGGGATATATTTATATTCCGAATTGTTATAAGTAATTTTACATAATAACTTCTAAATCCCTACTAATAATGAAGAAGAATGTGTGTGTTTGTGTGTTTGCGCTCTACAGGGAAGACCGCTGGACTTAGAGCTACAAAATTTGGCACGAACATTCTTTGGAGGGTGGGAATGAGTACATCTGAGCCGTTTTTTTGAAATTTTAATTAAAACTTTAATTGATTAAAAAGAATTGAAATTTTAGCATTTTTCCTTAACAACTTTCGAAAATAATAGAGTACAAAAATAATTTTTACACCATCTGAAAGAGCAAAACATTAATCGAAAATATGTGACAAAATATTTAAATTTTTTTATTTAAATATGTAGGTGTGTGTGTAAGATATTCTTTATTAAGAATTTTTCCAATAATTCCTTCGTTTGTTCCCATTTCTGAAAGATCATCGGTAGTTTAACAAGTAAATGACAATAACTGTCCTATTCAAACACTAAAATATTTTAGCTGTAATTAGGGAATTCCCTTTTAGACATTTGTATCTAATGTCTTAATAAATCCAATAACTCATAATTTTTTCCTATACGTCCCGAATGTCTTAATAACCCAAACAGCTTATAAACCTTTTCTTATACGTC